TGAGTTACTTCTCTTGTGATGTGTAGCCCTTTCAGGAGGAAATTCCCTGACAGACGTCGGAGTGAATTGTGCGGCTCCTGTGCAGTGCGTAACCCCAAGGCGAGCACTTAGCCTCACAGGGAGCTATTAGCCGATATGCAGCAGCTAATCTCCCTCCATCTGTGGCCTAATCGGCTCAATTGGCGGCATTCTTTCCAGATCAGGAGTTCATCAGTCTCACAACGTGGCTCCTTGTCTAGGCTGGTCCTCCCGCCGCCATCCGCTGCACCGGCCTGGCTTGACCGCCGAGTCGGAAGGTTTGCGGGTTCAAGCTCACCCCCCACCCCATCCCACGTCGAGACTTGGAATCACACAGTCTAAGCCGACGCTCCAATGCAGCGCTGGGGGTGTGTGTGTTTCGTTGTCGGATGAGACGTTCCTTCGGATGAGACGTTAAACCGAGGCCCGGTCTGCCTATTCGGGTGGACATTAAAGATCCACATGGCACTATTCAAAGAAACACGGGAATTTCTCTCTCCTGGTGTCCTGGCCAACAATCCCCCAGATAACCATTGCCGTCACATAATTGCGCTGCCTCGTTCGCCGATGAAAACACAGTCACTCCATTTCACCTTAAAAATCCTGTGAAGCACTTTGAGATGTCCTCCCGGCATGATAAGGCGCTCTACCAAGTGCAGGGAAACAACAACAATAATTCTGTTTGATGCAAAGGCTTTTACATCACGAGGACGTCTCAGAGCACTTCTCAGGCTCTTATTGCAAAGTGTAGTGACTGTGGGGATTTTTGTTTTGTAGGAGAAACCGGCAGCCAATGTGCACGAGGTTCTTTGTGAGCATCTTTGGCTATTTTCCTACAGGCTCTCCTTCATTTTGTTTCGAATCAATCCCCGCATTTTTTGTTACAGCGCTTTAACACATCAAAACACCTTAACCCGCTTTACAGAGTTGTGACACGTATTCACCATAATAATAATAATAATCTTTGCGTTTGATCTAGCGCCTTATCGCGTCATCGAGACATCTAAAAGCCCTTCACAGGATATACTGTGAAGTGAATAGACTGTATTTTATGGGCAAAGTGACTGTGTATTTTGTAGGTGGACGCAGCAGCCGATTTGCAGATAGGCCATGTCCCACAAACAGCCGTGACGTGAATGATCGATTTCCTTGGACAGTCACCGAAAAATTCTGTGAAGTGCTTTGAGAGGCGTATTAAGGTGATACATCAAATGCCAAGGATTATCTTGTCTCCCCCCACCCCCACCCCACCCCCCCAACAACGTTCCCCAACAGCCGCGAAGTCAGTGACCAATTTTATCAGGGAGATCATCAGCCAGGACAGCGAGGGGAGAGAAACTCTCTTCTCTTTTCGTGGAGTGGAGCACTGCGGGATCTTTAACATCCACCTGACCATGCACCAACGGGAGGGACCTTGGTTTAATGCCTCATCTGAAGGTCGGCACCTCTGACAATGCAGTGCCTTTCCTAAGCAACTCACTGGAATTATAATAATAATAATAATAATCCTTGCATTCGATATAGCGCCTTATCACGTCATTGAAACGTCTCAAAGCGCTTCAAGGAATACATCGTCTAGTGGATTGACTGCATATTTTGTGGGCGAAACACGGCAGTCGACTGCGCGCAGCAATGTACTGAAATCGAACCGGAACCCATGCTTTTTGCCAACGTCACGTCTTGTTGCTCACGTGGAGTGAGGTTGATGTTGGACAATCTGCGTCCTACCTCGATACAATGAAAACCTCCAAGGAGGGAGTCATTTAATCTGTTTACAATCTGTTGCTCATCCATGTCACAGTCAAGGATAAGGCGATGTTTTATGTTACTTAATGTCACATGTAGGACAATGCCCACAGCGGTAATTGAGATCAGAAACCAGAGACTCTTAATTACCAACTTGTACTCTTGGCAACCGTATTTTATCCTTTATATTATTTACCAAGTAAGTCTGAGGTTCCTTTCTGGGACGAGATTGACATTGCCATTGCCAAGATTGGGTTATACAGTATAGAGCGCGGGTGGATACAGGGTTATAGAGAGAGTTGGTGCGGCAGGTTATATAGAGATTTAGTGAAAGGCTGGTGAGACAGGATTATAGAGAGAGTTGGTGACATACATTAGTTGTGAGGAGTGACTGAAGTATATTCAATGAAGCGCTTTGAGACATTTCCCACAAGCAGTCGTGGATTGAGTGACCGCTATGCCATGGGACTCCCAAGTTTTACAAAGTTTTATATTTTCTTTTTACTTTCCTTCTCCTGGTCTTCAGACGCTTGGGTCGTGATTTATTGCCTAAACTGTGGTTAATAGGAACGATAAGAATGAAATGAATATTGGACCTCATGGGTCCAATGGGACTTTGTTCCCTTTTTATGGATATCGGGGACATTATGCATGTACGGTAACAAATTACATCTACACAGCACCTTTCATGGCAGCAGGACATCGCAAGGTGCTGGACGGTCAAGGGTTTGGGATCCAAGCTGGGAGTTGGGATCAGGAGGGGTGGAGGGCAGGGTGGGTGGGAGTAGGAGAGTAACCGAAGGCGTGGTCGAAGAGGAGGGTCTTGAGATGGGCCTTAAAGGAGGCAAGCGGAAGGGTGGGATGGAGTCACAAAGGGTGAAGGCCCGACTGCTGATGGTGGGGTGGGGCGGGCGGAGGACGTGGAGCAGGCCAGAGCCCGCTGAGCGGGCGGGAGTGGACAGGTTGATATGGGGTTAGCCGGTCACAAAGGTACGGAGGAGTGAAAGGCTTTGAAGGCGAGGACGAGGATTTTGAACTCAATCCTCTGGGGGATGGGGAGCCAATGGAACCGGGCGAGATTGGAGGCGATAGGGTCACGGAGTTTGGTGCAGGAGAGGACTCGAGCTGCTGGAAATACAATGTATGGATTGAATCTGGTTCTTGAAAAGATAGACTGCGAAATGAACAGATTAAGAACTAGTGGAGGAGGGATAGGAGAGGGGGAGTAGAGTGTGGTCAGGGTGGGAGAGAAAGAAGTAAAGGGGAGGAGGGGGGAGGAGGAGAGAAGGAGGGGCAAGAGACATAACCATCTCAGACACAAACCAAACCCGGGGAAATTACTCAAGACGTTACTCAACAAATTGTTCTGCAAATCCTCTGACCAATAGAGTCCATAGCATCTCGAGAATGATTTTGTTGAGTTCTGCAAATCTCTGATGAAGGAGTTTTGGTGTCAAACATTAACTAGAGTTAGTCTTTTGGGAGAGGGGGTGAGGAGAGCGGAACCTGTCAGGGTGTTGGGAAGTAATCTAATCATTCTGAATGACGTTTGAGAATTAACTGGAGCATATTAATTATCTATGAAAATTCAGCCCGGCCTGTCCTCGCCCTTCTTGGAGTCCTGTAGCGTAGTGGTGAGACCTCTCGCCTCACAAGCCTGAGGATCCGGGTTCAATTCACGGGCAGGGTGAAACCATAGGCAAGTTTCCTTACTCCACATGCCTCTGTTTACCTACCAGTAAGTAGGAACCCGGTCGTTTTCGATTGGCTTTCGTAGGGTGATAATCCCTCCAAAAAAAAATCTGGAAAAGTTAAAATGTGGTCGCTCAATCCATGAAGTGTTTGTGGGATACTGTTGTGCGCTATTGGCTGCCGTGATTCACCCACAAAATACACATTCGATGCACTTTACAACACTGTATATCCCGTGAAGCGCTTTGGGACGTCTCAACACGTGATGGAAGCAAATCAGCAAAGTCATTTACTGACCCTCTGACCCTCACAAAGTCACAGGATTTGAAGACGGATTTGAATACAACACTGAGCTGTTCTTTTTATAAAAGTTCCCTTAAACTGGCCTGAACCACCCTTCCTGGTAACCCTGTTCCAGTCGATACTTGCCCTGTGTATGAAGAAATACTTCCCGGATTCTGTGAAGCACTTTGAGATGTCTCAACCACATGATAAGGCGCGATAATAAACCCAAGGATTATTCTTGTTCATTTTGATACTTGTGCCAAGGGTCGGTATGAGTCACACAGGCAATTTGCTTCTTACGCAACAATGATATTAATAATTATACTATTCCAACACAAATGTACACTCATACAGTGCCTTTCATGGTGGGAGGACGTCCCAAGGCGCTGGACCCGAGCTGGGTGTTGGGATTGGAAGATTGGGGGGGGGGTGGTGGAGAGCAGGGGGGAAAGAGGGTGATCAGAGGTCGAAGAGGAGGGTCTTGAGATGGCTCTTGAAAGAGGCAAAGGGGATGCGAGGCAGTGGGACTGTGGGATGGAATTCCAGGGGTGGGGGCAGAATGGCTGAAAGCCCGCCCGCCAGTGGTGGGGAGGGCGAGGCAGGGGACATGAAGCAGGCTGGGGACCTCAGAGCAGCTGGAGCAAGCAGGTTGGTAGGGGCTGAGGAGTTTGCAGAGGTAGGGGGGAGCAAGGCCAGGGAGGGCTTTGAAAGTGATCTTGAATCGTATCCTCTGTGTAATGGAAAGCCAGTGGAGTCGGGCGAGGATGGGGGTGATCGGGTGAGACATCTCAAAGTGCTTCACAGAATACACAGCAGTGTCCCACGAATAGTTGTGGATTGAGAGACCACAATTACTTATTGGAAGGATTATTACCCCCGGGAAATCGATCCGTCAATCGACTAACGTCCGCGTTCCTATTTACTGCGAGATAAACCGAGGCGCGTGGAGTAACGAAACTTGCCTACGGTTTTGCCCCGCCTGGGAATCGTACCCAGGTCTCTCGCTTGCGAGGCGAGCGGGCAATCCACTACGCCACAGGTCTCTGGAGGTATTTGCTCACAGGTGTCGTGAGAAGGAATTTGATTCTTGCTCACGAGTCAGCAGACGTTAGTTTAAGCATCGGTTAATTAGTTACAGGCAGATTACTGTATTCAGATCATTACTTCCCACAGCAATGGTTGCGTTAGGGCTGCAAAGTTAGCTGGGCTGCTGGAATCTGCTACAATTAATGTTTACCTGGTTAATGATCAACTGGTAGAGATTTATTTTCTGTTGCACCAAGCGGGCATTGTGTGAGGGTTTTCTTGTGCAGGTAAAATACGAAACAGTTACCGCACTCAACTTTGTCGGACCACTGATCGCAAAGGTCCTAAGTAGAGATTGCCGCACAACACAACACAACCCAGCGACCAAGGTGAAGCAATACTGTAGCTCGCGAGGTGTCTGGGGTAATTAACTTACAGTACTGTCTTAGGATATAGCAGTGCAGAGGAATAAACGACGAGCTGGGAGAGAGAGAGAGAGAGAGAGGTAAGTCGGAGTGTTTGGTAACGCGTTCAATGTGTTTGCAGCAAACTCTTGACAACTCATTGCTTGGAGGGAAAGGGCTCAGTGACCAGTTATCCAGAGTGACGGGAGTTAGAGATATAATAATAATAATAATTCTTGCATTTGATAGAACGCTTGATCACACGTTCGAGACGTCTCAAAGCGCTTCACGGAGTATACCGTACAGTGAATCGACTGTGCATTTTGCGGGTGAAACACGGCAGCCAATTGCCCACAGCAGCGTCCCACAAACAGTCGTGGGTTGAGTCCTGTAGCTCAACGGAGCTTATTCCTGATAACTCGTCGCTCCAAGAGCAAAGGGCTCGGCCACGAGTTATCCGGAGCGAAGAATTAGGCGTGTGTATAAATACAATAAACTCCTGTTATCTCATTGTTCAGAGGGAAAGGGTTTAGTTGGGACAAGTTAGGAATAAGCAGCGAATTAGGAATATGACATCCCTTCGTCCACAAAATATCCAGTCAATTCACTTTACAATATATCCTGTGAAGCGCTTTGAGACGTCTCGAAAAAGTGATAAGGCGTTATATCAAATGCAAGGATTATTATTATTACTGTCTGACAGTCAGCGTTCCCCCCCCCACAACCACCCCCACCAGCCCAGACTGAGTTCAAAGTCCCCGATGCGAGGGCTTGAACCCACAACCTTCTGACGAAGAGGTGAAAACGCAGCCGAGCGACCCACGCTGATACCTTACGTGAACGAGCAAGTCTGGCACCCAAGAGGGATTTTTGCAGGAGCCGGCATTAATTTTGGGCCAAAGAAACAATAGCCTGCAAAGAACTGCTCTCAAACAATCGTTTGCAACGCTGCAAATTGCCTTCATGAAAAGGCAGCCATTCGCGTTGGGCGGATGTTTCAAAGCACGAGGCAGGATTTTATCCGATTCCATCGGATCAGACGTTAAGCCAAGGACCCGTCTGCCTGTTCAGGTGGATGCTAAAGATACCATGGCTGCTATTCGAAAAGATGTTCTGATCAGAAAGTCCCCCAGACCGAATCGGTCGCTCACCCCACGACGCTGGTGTGCGCCAACTGGCTGTCGCCTTTCGCCCACAAAGCACACAGTCACTCCACTTTCCAGCGTATGCTATGAAGCGCTTTGAGGCATCTCAACAACATGGTAAAGCTCTATGTCAAATGCAAGGATTATTATTATTATTATTACTGTAAAGTGCATCCACTGCATATTTTGTAGGCAATAATAATAATAATAATCCTTGCATTTGATATAACGCATTTCAAGTCCTCTCGACATCTCAACGCGCTTCACGGAACATGCTGTAAAGTGAACTGACCATATATTTGTGGGCGAAACGCGGCAGCCAACTGCGCACAGCAGCGTCCCCACAAACAGCCGCGGATTGAAAATGACCAATTTATTATTTTCTTTTTGGAGGGATGATTATTAGGCGTGCGGCAACCAACTGAAGGGGAAACAGAGAGGAGAGCGCGGGAGGGAGGAAGCGAGGGAGGGAGCGAGGTCGTGCGTAGATTTGATATACTTTATTTCTAGGAATTCAAATGAGAAGTTGAGACACGTTTGGTCACACACACACACACGCGCGCGCAAGAAAAGTTTGCAAGACAGCGGAATGAAATTAGGAAGGGTTGGGCACAGAGGGAGGGAGAGAAGGGGGAGGGCGGGAGGGAGGGAGGGAGGGAGGGAGGGAGAGGGTATGGGTGTGGGGTGGGCAGAGGTTAAAAGTAAGAAGTGAAACCGTACGAAGCGCAGTGACCCATGTAGAGACAGGAGTGGTTCACAAAGTTCTGTCAAAGCCACGCTCCCTCGCTTCACACATCTCTGAGCTTGCCTTGACATGCTACAGGTAGGTGATGTTCCTCTTATTCACTTGTATGTTTTTTTTTGGGGGGGGGGGGAAGAGGCGGTGTGGGGTTAGGGAGTCGGGGAAAGTTATTTGGAAGATTGTGAAGGTTTCAAGTCCATTTAATTCTTTGCGTTTGCGGATTTTAACTCATTCAGCGGGGTATCTCGTGTGGAGCCACGTAGAGCATTGGTTAGAGAGCCTCGCCTCGCCTTGCCTGGCAAGTAAGTGGACCCGGATTCGATTCCAGGGCAGGGCAAAATCTTAGGGAAGTTTGCTTGCTCCACCTGTCAATGTTTACCGAGCAGTAAATGGGAACCAGGTTGTCAATCGATTGGCGGATCACCATTCCGGGGTAATAATCCCTTCCCCAAAAAATAATAATAAATTTGTCACTCAGTGTATTCTCTGTAGAGCTTTGAGACGTCTCGAAGACGTGATAAGGCGTTATATCGGATGCAAGGATTATTATTATTACCTTAGTGGGTGGGGGAGGGAAAGAGACAAAATAATTCATTTGAATAAACTTTTCAAACACAGTCGGTGAGTGAATCTGTCTCGCTCTCACCTCACTCCAAAAACAAAAATTGCGTGTACTTGGAGCTATATAACAATAATAATAAAAATGATAATAATCCTTGCATTTGATGTGGCGCTTTTCACATCTTCTAGTTGTCTCAAAGCGCTTCAAAGAATATACTGTCAAGTGGATTGACTGTATATGTAAATGTATGTGTTTCTCTATATCTCTGAATTAATTGTGTGTGTGTCTCTCTTGTCTCTGTGTGTGTGTGTGTGTGTCTTTCTCTCTCTCTCCTTTCCTTGGATTTGTGTATAAACGTGTGTCTATCTCTCTGTTTTTCTGTATGTGTGTGTCTCTCTCTCTGTCTCTTCCTTGGGTTTGTATGTAAATCCAAGGACACGTAGTTCACAAAAATGTGGCAAAAGGAACAAAAAAAGCACACGGCAGAAAAAAGGTCTTTTCACACACGTAAATATGTAAAATTCATACAATTTCAAAAGGAGTAAGTGTGTGACAGAGAGGGGTGGGGGGGGGGAGATATCATTAAACAACCATGTTTCTGGAATCCTGTAGCTCAGTGGTTAGAGCGCTCGCCTTGCAAGTGAGAGACACCTGGGTTCAATTCCCGGCAGGGCGAAACCTTGGGCAAGTTTCCTTACTCCACACGCCTAATAATAATCCCTCCAAAAAACAAAAACAATAATAAATTGGTCATTTTCAATCCACGACTGTTTGTGGGGCACTGCTGTGCGCAATATCAAAGTGAAAAGCGCTATATCAAATGCAAGGATTATTATTATCTGTGTGTCTCTTTCTCTGTGTGTGTGTGTGTGTCTCTCTCTTTTCTCTCTGCGTCGCTTTATGTGTGTGTGTGTGTATCTCTCTCTGTCTGAGTGTGTCCTTGTGGTGTGTCATTGTCTCTGTGAGTGTGTGTTTGTGTGTCACTCTCTTTCTCTATCTGTGTGTATGTGTCTCTCTCTCTCTGTATGTGTCACTTTCTCTCTGTATGTGTGTGTGTCTATCTGTGTGTGTGTGTGCATGTCTCTCTCTGTCTGTGTGTGTGTCTCTCTATGTGCATGTTTGTCTGTCTGTATGTGTGTGTCACTTTCTTTCTCTATCTGTGTGTATGTGTCTCTCTGTGTGTATGTGCATGCTTGTCTCTGTTTGTATGTGTGGTGTCTCTCTATCTCTGTATGTGTGTGTCACTTTCTCTCTGTATGTGTGTCTATCTGTGTGTGTCTGTGTCTCTGTATGTGCATGTTTGTCTCTGACTGTATGTGTGCGCGTGTCTCTATCTCAGTATGTGTGTGTCACTTCTCTGCATGTGTGCTTGTGTCTCTATGTGCATGTTTGTCTGTCTGTATGTGTGTGTGTGTGTCTATCTCTGTATGTGTGTCACTTCCTCTCTGTATGTGTGTGTGTGTGTGTCTGTGTGTGTATGTGTGTGTCTGTGTGTGTCCCTCTCTGTATGTGTATGTGCATGTTTGCCTCTGCTTGTATGTGTGTGTGTCCCTCTATCTCTGTATGCGTGTCTTTCTATCTCTGTATGTGTGGTGTCTCTCTATCTCTGTATGTGTGTGTCACTTTCTCTCTGTATGCGTGTGTCTATCTGTGTGTGTGCATGTCTCTGTGTGTGTGTGTGTGTCTGTGTCTCTGTATGTGCATGTTTGTCTCTGTCTGTATGTGTGTGTGTGTCTATCTCTGTATGTGTGTCACTTTCTCTCTGTATGTGTGTGTGTGTGTCTGTGTGTGTGTGTGTCCCTCTCTGTATGTGTATGTGCATGTTTGCCTCTGCTTGTATGTGTGTGTGTCTCTCTATCTCTGTATGTGTGTCTTTCTATCTCTGTATGTGTGTGTGTCTCTCTGTCTCTGTATGTGTGTGTCACTTTCTGTGTGTCACTTTCTGTGTGTGTGTGTGTGTCTATCTGTGTGTGTGCATGTCTCTGTGTGTGTGTGTGTGTGTGTGTGTCTGTATATGCATGTTTGTCTCTCTCTGTATTGTGTGTGTCTCTCTATCTCTGTATGTGTGTCACTTTCTCTCTGCATGTGTGTGTGTGTTTATCTGTGTGTGTGCATATCTCTCTGTCTCTGTATGTGTGTGTGTGTCTGTATGTGTGTGTCTCTTGTCTGTGTGTGTCTCTCTCTATCTCTGTCTGTGTGTGTGTCACTTTCTCTCTGTATATGTGTTATATGTATGTGTGTGTCTATCTGTGTGTGTGTGCATATCTCTCTGTCTGTGTGTGTGTCTCTGTATGTGTGTGTGTCTCTGTCTGTGTGTGTGTCTCTGTATGTGTGTGTGTCTCTGTCTGTGTGTCTCTCTCTATCTCTGTATGTGTGTGTGTCACTTTCTTTCTGTACATGTGTTATATGTGTGTGTGTCTATCTGTGTGTGTGTGTGTGTGCATCACTCTGTGTGTGTGTGTGTGTGTGTCTCTCTCTCTCTCTCTCTCTTCCTCTCTGCTCAAGTTCAAGGAAACGTGTGTTCAGTTCTCATTTCACCCCAAAAAAAGTTCCTTAAGGTCTGAGTGACATCATTGAGATGTGGGCGTTAATAACATTGCTATTCCCTCAATCCTCAATCTGGATTCTGGGGAGTTTCTTGTGTTAAAAAAA